CTTTTCGTAAAAATACAAAAATATTGCGCAGAAACTGCTCACGTCGACACTTTTTTAAACTTTGACATCAATTTATTGCTATTTAGGACCAAAATCAATTAATAAATTGCATGCAACTATATTCGGGAAACTCTCCTCTATCTTTTAACACCAATTAGAACTTTCTACCGTTTCTACTTTTCATGCAATACCTCATTTATGTCGAAAATTTTGGGTTTTTACAAAAGTTCGTTTATTTAAAAAACTGAGGGTGATGGAGCAATTCGGTTTTCAGATTCTTGTTCAGGGAGTGAAGCTCTACAAGAATTTCATAGTGGCTATAGGAACCCAGAAAAAAAGTTTGATTTTGCCGGACAGTGTTATCGATCATTAAAAGCGAAATAATAGCGAGAATCTCTTATGAGAGGTCTCGACTTCCTTCTAATCACGGCATACGCGTGACACGAGCACCGATGGATTGTATGATTTCGCAGGTCTTATCGAAGTCGTTAACCTCGCGCTTCCACACTAATAACGGTTTGGCTAATACCAGTATGATACCGATACCTCATTTGTTCATTACTTCGAACGCGGCTCGAGTCCGTCCCGACCTTCTGTCACGGACTGCTGCGGACTCTCTCTCTCTCGCACCGTCACCTCTCATTGGCCAGTGTTTTTCGTTAATAACTCGTAAACAAAGCCGCAGATTGCATTTTCGCAAAGGAAAAAGTTTCTTCAAATGACCTCAGCTACCCCTCATTTTCGGCTGTTAAAATAATTGTGGAACACCCTGTATAGCGGTACTGGAACCCTAGAAATAGAAATAGAAATAGAAATAGAAATAGAAATAGAAATAGAAATAGAAATAGACATAGAAATAGAAATAGACATAGAAATTGAAGTTCAAGCTGAAGCTGTAACTGTAGCTGTAACTGTAGCTGTAGTTAAAGTTGAAATTGAAATTGGGATTAAAATTGAAATTAAAAATAACCTTGATACATCGCAACAAAAACAAACAATTTTTATCAGCCTAAATAGAAAATTCAAAATGTTCAAGTTAGAGAGCACGTACCAGTTACAATTATTATTGAATTTCATTAACATTCATTCGATCGATCTGTTTCGTCTATTTATTCGGGCATTATACAATTATTCGAATCATAAGGAGGATATGTGTTAACTGTGTAACGTACGGAGAATCTTCCCACGTATTTTTTATATTCCTTCCTGAAGGCATACGCCAGGCTGGCCACACGCCACTGGCATACGCCACACAGCCAGCCGGAGGTGGATTTGTATATCGTGAGTCGAGTACCTCCGAGGGGGTACGACGACGAACGTTCTGGAACCGGACCATGTAGCATTCGTCGAGACGCAAATGTTAGCGAGATTGAGTTAAATTCTCTTTCGAACAAATCTTCGAGGTAACAACCTAGAATCAGAAGGCCCCGCCGGTTCAGTGAGAAAAACTGAGGGCGCGTTTAGAGTCCGCAAACACACACTCACACCTGTTAAACTCAACGCGCAATAAATTAGTTTCTACCAGTTCTCTTTGGTTTCTACTTCAATCATTTCCATCTCCTGCTTCGAACCAGTAGTAGGTAAAAACCCACCNAAAGGAAAAAGTTTCTTCAAATGACCTCAGCTACCCCTCATTTTCGGCTGTTAAAATAATTGTGGAACACCCTGTATAGCGGTACTGGAACCCTAGAAATAGAAATAGAAATAGAAATAGAAATAGAAATAGAAATAGAAATAGAAATAGACATAGAAATAGAAATAGACATAGAAATTGAAGTTCAAGCTGAAGCTGTAACTGTAGCTGTAACTGTAGCTGTAGTTAAAGTTGAAATTGAAATTGGGATTAAAATTGAAATTAAAAATAACCTTGATACATCGCAACAAAAACAAACAATTTTTATCAGCCTAAATAGAAAATTCAAAATGTTCAAGTTAGAGAGCACGTACCAGTTACAATTATTATTGAATTTCATTAACATTCATTCGATCGATCTGTTTCGTCTATTTATTCGGGCATTATACAATTATTCGAATCATAAGGAGGATATGTGTTAACTGTGTAACGTACGGAGAATCTTCCCACGTATTTTTTATATTCCTTCCTGAAGGCATACGCCAGGCTGGCCACACGCCACTGGCATACGCCACACAGCCAGCCGGAGGTGGATTTGTATATCGTGAGTCGAGTACCTCCGAGGGGGTACGACGACGAACGTTCTGGAACCGGACCATGTAGCATTCGTCGAGACGCAAATGTTAGCGAGATTGAGTTAAATTCTCTTTCGAACAAATCTTCGAGGTAACAACCTAGAATCAGAAGGCCCCGCCGGTTCAGTGAGAAAAACTGAGGGCGCGTTTAGAGTCCGCAAACACACACTCACACTTGTTAAACTCAACGCGCAATAAATTAGTTTCTACCAGTTCTCTTTGGTTTCTACTTCAATCATTACCATCTCCTGCTTCGAACCAGTAGTAGGTAAGAACCCACCAAGGTATACCTTAACCGCTCGAGGTATATCCTTATTTCTTTTTAACAAAGTTACGAGGCACCCAAACACCAATTTCTCCAAACACCTTATCCTAACCCCTTTGAAGGTAGCCTTCTTCTTTAGGTGCCGTGTCTGTATTCAGACGTTGGTCATCATCATATTTACGATTTCCTGGAATCTTTCTCTATCGGCCACTACGCGAAACAGCTCCTCTACTGTGCAGTCACACCACTGCCTGATATTGCGCAGCCATGAAAGTTTCTTTCGGCCTATCCATCTTTTTCCTTCCACTTTTCCTTGTATTATAAGGCGAAGTAGATGGTATTTAGGTCCTCTAACTATGTGACCGAAGTATTCTGTCTTCCTCCTCTTTATTATATTTAGGAGTAGTCGGTCTGTATTCATCATCCTAAGAACGTCCTTGTTAGAAGTGTGCAAGACCCACGATATCTTCAGGATCCTGCGGTAGCACCACATTTCAAATGCTTCCAGTTTGTTCAGCATTGTGGTTTTTAATGCCCATGTCTCGCAGCCGTATTATAGGATGGACCACACATAGCATTTCAGGACCCTCTGACGAGTATGCATTGAAAGGTTTCTGTTACTTAGGACTGGTCTCCATTTCGCAAATGCCTTACGTGATATTTCAATTCTGGTCATCTCTTCATCAGAATCTCCAACCAGCTGCCAAGATATTTCAAATGGTGCACACATTCTATCCTTTTACCATCCAGCCAAAGCTGACATTGACCTACATTTACCTTGCCGGCTATCATCCACTTTGTTTTTGCCACCTGTGTCGAAATAAACATCGGCTGGTCTACGCACCTCATCCAAAGAATTCCAATTGCATGCAACCTCCGGCATCCCAAACTGCCTGGCCCTCGGCTCGTAACAACTGTTTTTGTCTTTACGTCTTCGTTTATACGAAGACACTGAAAACCAGCTCAATTGGCATACAGTAATCGAAATAATTTTCTTCATGGAATAAACATGCGTCTAATATTCAGTTTCTCAATGTGTATGCTATAAAATAAGGGAAAGAAGTATCTAGACCAGCAATAAAAGGATTAACGATACCTGGATACTCTTTTTGTCCAAGCCAGACCTTTCCAACCTCAGGCCCCTGGCGGGCTCAGCCTGGCGCCGGGCGGTTTGCAACCTCCTGTGTTCCACATGCTCCTCTATTTAATAATAACGGAGCCTGAAATTTATGCAAGCAGGAAAGTTTGTCCTTATTCACTCCAGGAGTGAAAGAAATCTTTTTGTCGGTAAATTGTTTCAATCTTCAATCATTCTTAACTCTAATTTTCTAAGCCTCTGAGTTTGAAAACTGTTGTAGGTAATTACTAAATTAAATGTGCAGTCTTTTTAAAAGAATATGAATACAAGTTTCAATTTTGTTTTTCAAATTTTTAAAAGTAAAAATCATAAAATTGCAAAATTATTCGTTGCTTTCAAAAATCCTTCTCGTAGAGTAGAGCATTGATCGCTACCCGTCACAGTTAACAAGTACTGGGATGGCTGCATTAACAAAATTTTGTAGATTCATAAACTAGAAAGTATTACCTAAAATGTAGCTTACGGGTTTTCGAAAATTTTGATAATTGTAGAAATGGTTGCCGTTGTGCAAAATGTTCGTAAATACGCTGGACTGTGCAGTCGAGAATTCTACAGGGCGAAAGATACAAATCGAATATCGCGCCACGTGTTTCAGATGGAACATCAGGCATACGGATGCGCGAAAAGAGTGAAATAGCAAGTACGATAAAGTGAGATGACCTAGGTTTTCCGTCCGTGTGGACACTCACGCATAGAGCTCGCTGGTTTCGTTCTTTCTCTCTCGATCATCTCCTGTTCTCCTTCTAAAGTAACTGCGCGGATCTGGATGCGTATTAAAATGGTGGGGATAAAAATGCTTATGTACTATGGTGAAGCAGAATTGCTTACTATGGTGAGGCATGTCTGTACCTTGTCTTTGCTCGTGTATGCTCTGTTGCATAGCACCATAACCTCTCAACTTCCATTTCCCGCCAAGCATTTTAGTGTAACTTCTATTGTAAATTTATGACCAAAAATGACTGAAGAAGCAAACAGTAATGAATTCATGTTGAGGCCAATGAGTTGTGAATTGAATCAACTATCTATGCCTGATGGATCGGCAATGTTGATGCAAGGTAATTTAGTATTAACATTTGCAATTACTTTCTGTAAATAACATTTGCATTTTAGGGGATACAGCAGTTATTGCTGGAATTTATGGACCTGCAGAGTCCAAAGCACAAAAGATGTTGTACGATAAAGCATCTGTTGAGGTGTCATATGCTCCTATCAAGGGTGCAGCTAGTATGTGTAATAAAGTTAATCACTGCAACATATCAATGTTTCAATAATATACCAATTATATTTTTCAACTGTTTAAGAGGTTGATGACAGAGTAACAGAAATGTACATAAAAGAGACATGCGAAGCTGCAATTATTACAACATTTCATCCAGCAACGTCCATATGTGTAAATGTACAAGAACTAGATGATTCTGGTGGGGTATGGCATATTTCAACATATTTTGGAAAAGTAAACTGTTACAATTTTGTAATAGCAGATATACATACATTTTTTAGTTATTAAGTTGTATACTGAATGCAACTTGTTTAGCGCTTATTAATGCTGGAATTCCAATGAAATTTACTATTGGAGCAGTAAGTTGTATGATAGAGGAAGGCACTGCAAATATTATTTTGGATCCTGACAATAATCAATTACAGGTATGATTATACAGATCTATATATACATAGTTATAAATAACATTGTTTGAATATATTGTAACTTGTTTACAGAATGCTAGGGTTCAATTTACCTTTGGATTTGATAGCATGAATAAAGATGTTGTATGCTGTCATACTGAAGGCCGTTTTACACAATCAGAGTTTTTTGAAGCAATGGACAAGTGTAAACAGGCTAGTCAATATGTATTTGATTTTTACAGAAACATTGTAAAAAAGTATGCAAAAGCAATATAACATTTCTATATTTTTCTGAAACGTGAGTTTTAGTTGCCCCTATCAATTTCATAGAAAATTACATCATGATATGAACTTAATTATTTCATCATTTTGGATTTCATTTATTATATGGATACGATGACTTATAAATTGCAGGGATCTGACTCGCTTGGATCCACATTAGCAGAGTTTCGAACCCAGGAGTTCCGCGCTATCGTGGTAGTTCATAATGCATCCGTGACATGTATCGTGGCGCTAAGTGCAATGAAATTGATTTGATCATCGATGTGTTTATTTTGGTTTTAAAAAAATGTGACACTTCGATTTATTTATATCTTTTACAACGATTAGTGGAAAAAGTTTAATATTCTACTTAATAATAGAAACGATAAAAAATTAATCAATATGGAGAAATTAAGTTTTCCGTCAGAAGAAGTTTTAAAACAAGCTATCGCGGAAATTAAAGAACCATTATTATTTCAACGAATGTTGCAAGATTCAACAGGTGCATACACCTGGAAATTGTTAGATTGGAAATTATCTGAGTTGATCGGAAAGTTTGGGGATACCAAGTTACCATTCCGAGTTGGTTATAATGTTCGATCGAAGGTAAAGTATTAACCTCTTCCGCATGTATATCTTTCATTCGTATGTGTAATACATATATTAACATTATAAGATCAGATCTTTGGTTTTAGGGTCCACAATGGGAGGTGAACTGCCCTGTAGTATCGATGACATTATCAGAGTTCGTTAAAAGCATAGAATTTAAAGAAGATGAAAAGAAATGGTACTATTTTGACTATAAATACATGAATGAATGGTTCATGGATAATCCAGAGATAATAGAATCTGTGAATTGGAAAAGATTTGGTTTTAAGAAGACAGGCAACGATACCACTCTTTGGATAGGAAGTAAAGGTGCGCATACAAATTGTCATCAAGATTCTTATGGCTGCAACTTAGTAGCACAGATTCATGGAAGGTACTCGAGTTAGAGTTTTATTTATGTATTTAATTGTTGTGTGATTACTTCTCAATGGATAAATCATTTCAGAAAACAGTGGTTATTATTTCCTCCAAGTTCAACTTGTGCTCTTCATGCAACAAGGATTCCATACGAGGAATCAACAGTGTATAGCAAGTTCAATTTCTTTTGCCCAACCGAAGAAGATGAAACAAATATATTAAAAGTAAAGGATAAGCCAAAATTAGTAACCCTTGAACCAGGAGATGTTTTATTTGTTCCTGCAGGCTGGTGGCATTATGTGGAGTCATTAGAATTTTCTACTAGTGTCAACATATGGATACCAATTGCAACAGACAATGTATCAAGAGTCAAAGAAGCTCTTGTGAAATTAGTAGTAGCCAGAATTGGTAAAAATGCTTGCAAAACATCTGAAGAGGCTCACAATTCCTTATCTTATTGCATGAAGCTGGTAATATATGAACAAAAAATATATAAATTCTATTGCGCATAATAAAATAGTTTTATATTTTAATTAAAATTTTATTTAACAGTTGAATTTTGCTCTTGAAGAATGTAAAGATATAGATAATGTAGAACCATCACATAAAAAAATTAAGCACACTGCATGGACAGCAACAGACTTAGCAGCAGAGTATCCATACTATGTGAAGCTATTAAAAGAACTTGAAACATCAGAATTGAAAGAACTTTTAAGAATAAAGAGAGAAAGATTTCTTGAAGATAGCGCAGAACCATTATCAGGCTGCAGTTCGGAATTGAGCAGGGACACTCAAGAAACCGCAATTCATAAATTATCGGAAGATGTTGTAAATGCATTATGTCACCCTGATGTTATTAATAAAGTGACAGACTTACTTCTATCTTCATAAATATACATATTTAACCGTTTTTAATTATAAACTACATAGGAACAAAAATTGGTATAGTGTTTTTATTTTTTTTAAATACTCTCTTATAAGTGAAAGCAGTTTTTCCCTAGATGAGATTGTTGACCGATATAGGTTAACTTTGTTTGACATGTCAGAAGTGTTTCTCATCTAATTGTGTGTTTATCAATTATTCAAATCATTGGTGTCGTGCATGTAATTATAATGGGTTTATTAACTGTGCTTAAAAAATTGAAACAGAAGGAGAAAGAAATGCGCATTTTAATGTTGTACGTATCTACTTTTTAATATCTTTTAGTAATTTTGAGGTTAACAGAACATTTATTATCACTTTTGTTGTAATTAATTGTTTTCTAGTAATATTATAATATTACTCAAATAGATCCGTCAATATTTATTGTAAAATTTGTACATATAATTTCATAAAGAGTGTTTGATAAAATAGAATGTTTTCTAACCCTATATAAACATTTGTTTTGTAGAGGTTTGGACAATGCTGGTAAAACAACAGTGTTAAAAAGGATCAATGGAGAACCAATTGACACAATATCACCAACTCTTGGTTTCAACATTAAAACTTTGGACCACCGTGGATATAAACTCAATATATGGGATGTGGGTGGTCAGAAATCATTGCGCTCGTATTGGAGAAACTATTTCGAATCCACAGATGGACTTATTTGGGTAATAGACAGCGCAGATAGGAGAAGACTGGAAGACTGCAAAACGGAATTGTATAAACTCTTAAAAGAGGAAAGATTGGAGGGTGCAAGTCTTCTAATACTTGCAAATAAGCAAGATTTACCTGGAGCAATGTCTACATCAGACATTGCAGAAGTTTTAGAGCTGCCTAATATTAAAACACACCACTGGCAAATATTTAAGTGTTCAGCGGTCACTGGAGAAAACCTGGTAGAGGGAATAAACTGGATTGTGGATGATATCTCTGCAAGAATATTTTATATAGACTAATACTGCGAACATACGCAATTCAGTCTTGCTAGTATTGTAATTTTTTCACTTTATTTATTTTTTGTCCCATGAAGAGAGAAGTAATGCGATTATTCCTTTTTTTTTACATGAACTGTTTACATAATGTTAGAAAGATTTAATAAACTCACAATATTTCTCAATATTTGAATCTAATTTCCTTTTCTTAAAATTGATTGTTATTTCTTCTTTGTCTTCCGCATCTTCACTTTGTTCGACTTCTTCGTCGTTTTTGATTCAGTACCCTCAGCCTTCTTCTTTGGTTTAGTATGCTTAGGAGTTTTTTTCTTCTTTTCAGGTTTTTCTGGAGGAGGTTCTGTGTCAGGATATTGAGTTATATAAATCGACTTTAACAGATCTAGATTTACAGTGTTCTTTGGACCAGCAAATGCTTTGGTAATAGCATCTAGCAAAGTTGTAGACAGCTTAAGTCTGAAGGATTTTACTACTTGTAGGAAGCGTGCTGTAAATGAAAGTTTATAAAATAGATTAGTCATTCCTATATCACTAATCCAAATTTGGACATAGAAGACTCATGTTAACTTCATAAAATGAACTTCCCGTACATCTAGAGACAAAGCCGTCCTCAAGGGAAAGGATAAAATGTCCGAAGTTCTTGCGTTGTTGTTTCCTTTTTGGCTTCATTGCCTCATAGTTAGCCCTCTTGAAAATTAACGCCATCACGTCCGGTCCTACGATCTTGTGATTACTAAGTATCCCTTCCAGTTTAACTTCCAGCGTGGGTCTACCTTCTTCGATGGCTTGCAGTTCGGGTAACGCATTTTTCTTCGCCCAGATGTGTGAGAGATCCAAAACCCGCAGCCGACTTCCCGGAGACACTTGAGGCGTGATTGCTCGAATAAGTTCGAACGCACCTTCTGCCTTCAAGGGATTGTTACCTATATGCAACTCCTCCAGCGTTTCATTTTTCGACAGACCTCTGGCGATGATTGCAGCATCCTCCTCGTTAAACCTGTTTCCTGGAAAGAATCATTATTATATTAAATCTCATTGATCCCATCTGGTCTTCTACTGCACAAAGAATCAAAGAGTTCGAGGTCTCTATTCGATAAACAAAATGTTACCAGTCATGATCAGTTTCCTCACGGATGGAGAATGAGATAATAATGATCGTAGATAGTTCACACATTCGTTGCCCAACGCGTTCCATGATAAATCAAGCTCCTCCAATACCTCGTTGGCCTCTATCGCTTTGCCCAACTTCTTCCATGTTTCCGCACTGTACAAGGAATTCCATGATAATCTCAACTTCGTCAATGTATCAGAAGCTGTGATCAAATGTTGCAGGTCATTGGCACAAGATTCGTCCAACTGATTGTCATTCAAAACAAGTTCCTTCAGCTGATCGCTCTGACAAACTGCTGACTCAATGTACGCAAAGCCTTCGGCACCAAGGTTGCACTCGGAGAGATCTAACTGGGTCAATGTTTGGCTGTCCGAAATTCCATCTTGCAGTCTCCATGCACCCTTCGGCCCTATTCGACATCCTGCTAACACCAAATTGTGGATAGTGTTGTTGTTTTGAAGTAACTCACCGAGGTGGTAACAGGCATCCTCTGATAGCCGGTTTCCCTGAAGCACGAGTCAACGATGTTAGGCTATATCTAAACAATATTTACAATATGAAATGTTAATGTTACCGTAAGGTCGACTATTTCCACCGTATGGTTCATCATCAAAGCCTCGCAGAGGGGTCTGACAATCCTTGGATTTATTCCATAGTACTGCAGATCGATTTTGTTCGACAGCAGCATCTTTTCCAACACCTTTATATGCTGAAGCTTGGCTTTCTCTACCAGGGCTTTAAAAAATTGTACACCGTGGTTGCTATAGCTGTCTGTTTGCTCTTGCAAGATCCAGAACGCAGGTGTTATGCCAGGATCATCGGGCACTGGAAACGAGGTGTGAAGATTCCGCAGTTTCAACTGGGAGTTGCTGATCTCGATATGTCTGAGACAATTGTAGAGAGAGCCCTCTGAGGATTCCTCACTACGCTTGTCGGATTCATCTTCCGGCGTGATCAAGGTCTCCTCGGATCCTTCGGTTTCTTCCTTCAGCTGAAAGTCCAATGTGTATAGTTATAGTATATATATATATAGTTAATATTCAAAGAATATTTGAGACTAAAATTACACCAATTAGCTGGCGCAGTTTCTCCTTCCTTTCTTCAGTCTTGGCCGCGATTCTCTCGGCCCCTATATCGCGAAATTTCGAAAACAGGTCCGCGTATATGTCTATCAATTCCGGCGGCTTTAATTTCTCTTTCACTTTTTCCTTTTCTTCGACTCTTTCGTCGAACTCCTTCCCCTCTGCTTCGTACTCGTACCATTCGCCTTCTTCTTCGTCATCTGGCGGCCATATTTGATAATCGGAATAATCTGACACTTCGGTAAGATAGTCATCTGCCGTGTACTATAAAACGATTTTATTAATTCGCGAGTATACAGGCATTGCATTATCACGTATATACCTTAGTCTCCATGTTTCGTCCAAATCTCCTTCCCCCTCTTTCGGCTGTCGAACGCAAACGTGGACACGATTCCGTTACGTAAATCAAGTTTCATCGCATACCGTAAATTTCATTGGCAAATCAATCGGCTGAACACAAAAATGTGCAATATGTAGCAGTAAAATGATTTGATAGAAATGGAGCCCAGCGAGATGTTCAAAATGTTGAATTCAGGTTATATTTATTTACTGTTTTGTTATTAATGAATGGTTGTTTCCAAGAAATCACGCTACGTCGTCGTAGGGGGTGGAAATCCGAGGCGCCATAAATTCTCTCGATCGCGTCGTCAGTAAAACAAGAACCTGCTTAAACGTTTCGTACATAATTCAGTTTATTCCTACAGAAATGTAGGCTATGTATCACAACTTTCTACAGAATTTCATTGAAATTGTTCTGTCGTACGACGTCGAGAATAGACGTTGTCGCAAAGTTGAGTTGGGTTTTCAGGGTTTCAAGGTGCAATGACCACCTCGAAGACGCGACCTTTTTTACCTCGTGTCGTGGCCGAGTTGCAGCCTTGACTGCATTTTCCGAAGGCATCTCGTTTACGCCGTGGTGTCGGTGTCGGAACACGAGGTTCACACGGGCCTTATTCGGCTACTCTGGCAGGGCTGACTCATTTACCGAGTATTCGTCAAGTGGCTCTTCTGGACCATTGTATTGTAATTTCGACAGATCGCTCATTCAACGTGGTCACGCGGGCGTCCGCGGCCCGTGGTCAAGATCGCCCGATGGCTACCGTTGTCTCGGCCACGAAATTGCCCACACGGGGTCTTTGTTGATCGCAGACGCGCTTTCGATGATAATGAACAGCATTATCCTCAATGAAACGATCTATTGAAATCTGTGGCGCGACGAAATCCGGATCCGTGTGCCACGAGGTTGTTCACCGTAGCTTTCGAAACGATTTACGTCGCCATTATTACAAAAGGAACAAAAAAAGAGGCCCCACGAGGTTCCGACGCCTTTGCCTCCTGCCTTTAAATGCAGGATTACGAAGGATGACGCAAGTATGAAGAAGAATTGAGAATGAAAATGGGGGCCTCGATTAGGGATATTATGCGGAAAGTTCGACTTAAGTGATCTACGGCGGATAAATACAATTGCTCTTTCTGTTGTTGCTGTTATTTAAGGTATAGTTGTCTAATTTGAGCCGGTAAAGTCATCGGTGCACAGTAAATTCTCCCCAATCGTCCTTCGGCAGCTTGTAAACGATAATGGAGAATTATTATTATTAATAATCGTAAACCCCTCTTACCAAATTGTCCATTTCTGTTTACAAGCCGAGGGACAATCGGGGAGAATTTACTGGACTGTGTTTTTGAAATTTCGCGTGTCCGTCGTTTCACTGCTTCTCACATTCCTCGGTGTCGAATTAGTATACCGCTACGAAATCAGTAAAATGAAAAGACAAGATGACAACCGACCCAAGGGATAAATGAGGGTTAGAAAGCTCTCACAGTCCCTACTACATGTGGATACAACATTTTTGCTTCTGCATCTTTGTGATTGTTAACATTCGCAATTGACAAGTTCGTCTATGGATCATTGTTGGTATTTTTCGTTATCGACGGTCGAATCCGACGGACGATGCCGAACTGCAGCTGTCCCCGGAAGGCACGTCTACCATCGATTCTCTGCGTTCCCGGTGATTTGAATGCAACCTGCGCGGGCGTTGGTCGCGGCAGTTCCACGTGAGAGAATTCGTTCGTCGTTGGTTCGCGCTTGTTTGCTGAATGAAAGAAGAAAAAGGCTACACGATCTCGAAGGGTTGTACTTTTTATTGAAACTTTTTCAATCTTCGTAACCTTAGGTGAGAAAAACTTGGCGCGGGGGCGGAGAGGGCGAGGGGCGGTCGGAAGGAGCTTATTTATTTACACGCACTTACTCGTACACATTTTTCCTTCGGTATCTGACACGGGGGCTGATCACATCTAGTCGATTATCCATTAGCTATCTACGGTGGACCTGGGGCATTAATTCCTCGGGGGTGCGATACAAATTGTCGTCGCGTATCGATCGTCTCTTGGACCGACAGGCTCTCGTGGAAGATAAGGAACACGTTCGAGGAACTATTGTCCGTGGTCTCTTAATCAATTAATACAAGACAATAAAATAAAAATAATATAATATAAAATAATATAATATATATATATATATATTTTTTTTCATCGGTTCTATGTATATATTTTTGTATAAGAATATAGATTTCTTTATAAAATAAAGTATCTGTTATACAAATTTTTTTCCTTCCGTTAGAACTTACGGTTACCGCCTAATACGATTTATGCGCCTTCCTCTTCGTTAAAGTCTAGTTTACGCGCGATTTCGAGCGACCAGCTGATCGCGACACGCTGGAACGATACTAAAAGAAGAAGAATAGATACATAAAAATTGCACATCTAAAAGGGGTCGGGGGTTGGTGATCGTGGAAGAGAGGGGGGCGGGGCGGAGTCCAAGGAAGCTTGGTAAAAAGGCGACGACATGGAACTATGTACGTTGGGGCTTTATTTACACCGATGACACCATGTTGGAACTCTGGATGACGTCGGTCAAAAACTGATCGTTGTCGATCCACGAAACGAGATAAATTTTATCGAACGATAATAGCATCGTCAAAAATGCTGATTCGCCGATGAGAAGCTAAACCCGGAATCAAAGATCATACGAATCGAGGAAGGTGAATTTGTCAAATTTTATCTGCACCTAGATGTTCTACAGACAAAATTGACAAGTCCAAAAGTGATTCGATTCGAGTGGGAAGCTACTGCGCGACCGTCAATGTCTCGAGTTCTCTCATTCGAGAGATAGAATCGACCGAATAACAATCATTGACGACAATGAATCGTGTCGGGGGTCCAAAAGGATGGGACGGGAGCGGTGATAGGGGCGAGAATGAGGAAAGTCTTACGCACGATATCCTCTCTCTCTACGAGTATCACAATAATATCGTCCGACGGAACGTCCGAAGCCTGCGTTCGCGCAGAATAGTTTTGCCTACATCTCTACGAATGCCCGCATCACTCGGACATCTTCAGCTTCGGAGAACGGAAGGGGACCACGGTCTAAATCCTGGTCTACGATGAACGCGGATACAACGTCGAATCTTAAACCTTAAGACAGTTCTGGGGATTGGAACGGGGACGAGGGATGGTTTATAGGAGATACAAGCTTAGCGAAATTAATAAGTACGAGTTATGTACATATGTACAACGATAGAACGACTCGCCGTTATCTCGGTAGAATTGTGTATCGTCGATCGGTTATTCTCGTGTACCGTGAAATCGCCGGAAGTACGGAGCACGGGTAGACAGGGAGCGCGTAAACCGGATCGCAGCTCGAAATCTGGGAAAAGGAGAATTCTGTCGACCTCTCTTACCTCTCTCTATCTACCTAGATCCGCCTCGCTTGCTGTCCGTGAACTATGGCGGAACAGGACCGCTGCGATCCACCCGGATTCGCGCTTCGAAATACATAGTACGAGACAGCTACACGCGGAAACGAATGCCACAGATTACTAACACTGTACAACAACAAATCTCAGCCTTCTCTCGAACGTGTAACATCGAGCAAGCGTTCCTTGCCGGATACGCGAGAACCGACGAGAGAAACGTTCGTTCGAAGTCGCACACGCCGCAACCTGCGCGTTCCACAGCGTGGTCCCGATGACTCTGTTTCACGACGCTCTTATCGTCCTTAAATTTGTCATCGACATCCGCGATATGCCGGCATGGAGTTACACGTGTACAGTCAATACTTGATGGGGCACCGACGTCTGGCTGGTTCCCGGTTGCTGATGAGAATACGATGGTTCCTGTAGTCTTGGTTTGCTGTACGGTTTATGAAGTCCCTCCTCGTAGCTGAAGCTGGCCGTGTTGTTCCTCGCCTCGGCGCTGGGCGCTTTGTAGAGAGGCGGCAGACGATGTCTACCCTCTTCGGAGACCATCTCCAAACTCTCCTCGGTCGCGGCGAGCGCGCCCAGCGAGGTCCCCGACAGCGGCCTCACGACGGAGACCCTGGGCTCGCCTTGGTCCTGGTCCTTCAAAGGATTCGCGTATCTCCTCAGGTTCTCCTCGTTCTGGAGGTTGTTCGACTTCTCGTCCAAGTCGCTGCGATGTCTGTGCAACGAGGTCTCGCTGTTCGTCGTCGCCGTCAGGCTGGACCGTTGCCTGACGGACCGAAGGTACCAGAGCCCGCCGAACAGGGCTAGCACCAGCACGGTGGCTAGGGCGCCGCCCAGGACGGCCACGTAACTGCCAGCACTGCTGGCGTTCGCCGAGCTCGGCTCGCTGAGCAAGGCCGTCTCCACCTTGACCTCCAGCACGGAGGCCAGAGCGAGAGGTCTTCCCAGCGGTCTGCTGAGAGCTTCGCCAAGATCTCTGGCCGCGTCCGCGGCTGCTTCGGAGAAGATGGTCACTTCCACCGTATCGTTGTCGCCTGGCTTCAGGTCGCACAGAAGGACGATCGACTGTGGCCTCCTCGGGTCAGCCAACAGCTTCCTCAGGCGTCTGCAAAGAATCTCGACCGAGGTACCCGCAGCCAGATTATCTCTTCTCAGTAAAATGGTGAGCCTGGAACACGTGGGGCCCGGGGTGGCCTGTCCGGGCCAACAGGAGGGTGGTGCGGGCAGAGCAGGCGGGCCGACCCTTCTGCCAGTTTCCACCGGTCTGCACTCGCCCCAGGCTGGACAGGGCGGCGAGAGGCAGCTCTCGCTGGGGCTGGGCACGCAGACCTCGTGAGCTAGGCAGGAAGTGCCGTTCAGGCAATTCCCGGGACCGCACCAGATATTGCTGCACTGGTTCTTCCCGTTCCGGCACTCGCAGATGTTGCAATCGTCGTCGCAGCTGGCCACCATGCAACCCGGGCCCCCAGCAGTGCGGATCTCGCAGCGCGCTCCGCTTCTGCCTGGCGGACAGACGCAGGAATAGCTCGCTATACCATCGACGCACGTGGAGCCGCTGGTGCACGGATCGCTGGCGCACTCGTTCACGTTTATGCGACAGTCCGGGCCGGTGAATCCCGGCGCACACTCGCATCTGAACCAGTTGATCCCGTCCACGCATTTACCGCCGTTCAGGCAGGGCAATGGCTGACAATCGTCGACGTCCCGGCGACAGTTCGGCCCCTCGAACCCTTCTCTGCAGACGCATCTGTAGTTCCCGTCGGCGGTGTTCACGCAAGTAGCGCCGTTTTCGCAAGGATTGCTCGCGCAGGCGGGAGAAGCTATGTGACAGGCTGCGCCTTCCCAATCCGGAGGACAATGGCAAGTGAACCCGTCCCCTCGGTCCTGACAAGTCCCACCGTGACGGCAGGTCCCCGGCTCGCAGTGACCACCGCGGAGGGCGCAGGTCTTGCCCTTCCATTCACCTCTGCAGATGCAGGTGAAGTCCGCGACGCCGTCCACGCAGGTGCCATTGTTACGGCAGGGAGAGTTCATACACTCGTCCACGTCTGCAACGGAATCATTGTTGTTTCATTATGACTGATCCTTTTCCGCGCATAAATGAATACTGAACAGCGCGTGAGCTTATCATTTATTCTGCCGTGTCTCGGCATCTTTGTATTACGAGATCGAAACCGTCGCTAATAGACAACGAGGAAAGGAACGGCAACGCGCACAACACTGGGTTGTGGGTAGAGCTGCACAACTTACGAGATATCCGGGTACTCGGCTTACCCACGAGGTACTCGGGTAAACGAAAATTACCCGAGTATGTACTCGGTTACCTCGTGAGATAACCGGGTATGCGAAGAGAGAGAGAGAGAGAGTACCGTTTTACGTAACAAACCATAACAGATTATAATTTATACTGTAGAAACATTCTAACAGCTTTACGTTGCGCACAGATACGCTTGTATCAACATTGAAAATATTCCGTGGAGGACGAACGAATTTTATTGCAAATAAAATGAAGGCAATAATTAGCGCAACGATGGTAACAGTTCTTGTGACTTGTTATAGGACCTTATTTCTGTGCTTGCGAGAAAGAACGCCGCGAGTCGCATGCTTCAACTTCCGAGATATTGTCGAGTCTATAGAATGTCCTCTTCTGATAAATGCGTAAATCCTACATACAGTAAAGTCTCAGATTGTGCACAAAAGTTTGGGAAGAGGAGATACGATTATTCGAGCCTTGCAGTTAATTTTTATAGTTACCGATTGTCAACAATTATATTTGGTCTACCGGAAAGTTCTGTCCGTTTGAGAAATGAAAGGAAATAATAGATTTTTCATAAATTTAGTAATATTTATATTGTACAATATAATTTCCGTCGTTATTCATGACCTCTTGCCAGCGTGATGGCAATTTGTGAGCAACAGTTTTCAAAAATATGTGTCTCAAATGAATATGTGCATATTTATTGAAATTTGCGATGACATTATCAGACAGAACTTTCCGGTAGACCTAATAAAAACGAGCCGCAAGGCTCGAATAATCGTATCTGCTCTTCCAAAATTGTCCATTCTTTTTGCACAATTTGGGCAACGATTATTAAACATTACTGTATATGCTATAATTCAATAAATGTATTGGGTTAACAAGTAAGTTCCCGCCGTTTTTTTGTTTAATTTTAACATTTCGCGTGTCATTAAATGTTTTTGGCATAATGTTTTAAATCATTCGAAAGAGGATGTTTTGTTCTACCGGAATCTATGTTTTGTTTTTATGCTCGAATTAATTTACGTTAATTTTCAGATCATTCCAATGGGATGTCAAGTTGAGAAAAACAGGCATTTTCAACGCCTCTTTCTTTCTCTTTTAAGCCCGTAAAAGTTGCTCGTGACATTTGTGCTGTATATGGAGAGGTTGCCATAGCTGCAAGAACCGCTCGTCATTGGTATGCTAAGTTCAAAAATGGAAATTTTGATCTCAAAGACGCTCCTCGTTTTGGCCGTTCAGTTGAGCGATTAAATCAACTTTTGCACGAAAATTCGCGTCGAACGGCAAGGGGAACTGGCAGAGAACATGGAATGCTCCCCCACACTGCTATAGAAAAGCGTCTTCGCTCAATGGGAAGGTTCAGAAGCGTGGAACATGTGTTTCGCATGCTTTAAATGACAACAAATATCGACCGAAGCCGGGTGATTTCTACCAACGAGGTATTGAGAATCTTGTTGAACGTTGGGAGGAAGTTGTAAACAACAAGGGAGAATACATGATTGATTAATTAGTTGTTAATTTTCATTGAAAAATAAACTTTTAAAAAATCGATTAAAACAAGATGATCGATCAAAAGCAAAAAGAAGGAGGTGTCGAAAACGCTCGAAAATTTTTCTCAACTTGTCATTCCATTTGAATGATCTGAAAATTAACCCTCTATGGGCCGAATTTTTTTCTTAAATATAACAAAATTTATACAACGGAAAATCTGTTATTATAAACCTTTATATGCTAATTGAAAAAATATTTAACAGTTTAAACAACTTTATTATAATTAATTCGATTTGTAACTTTGAAGTAACAACGGCTTACAATGTTTCCGCTTCTGTGCATAAATGCTTAAGCGTGAAATTCCACGAAACAGTTTGAATTTGGCATTAAACATTGATGTACGTTGCATTTGGAACTGGTTGCCGAATAGTTTTTTGTGGTCCTGAATTTTCCTCATCCGATGATAATTCGGTACTAAATTCATCGTCGCTGTCAATAATATTTATGCGTCGTCTGGTAAATGCTACTGAACGATCTTCATCGAACTCAGAATCTAATAAAGGATCTTCGGATCTGTTACCGCTAATGCGTCTAATTCTAATTCCTCTTTTATTTTTCTATGATTTTGTATCCATATTTTGGG